CTTCCACAACAGTTTATTCATTACCGCCAATTTGACCACCATTTTCTTCTTCTTTTTCCTTTTCTTTATCTCATTCCTCTTATTTTGCCTCTTTATCTTTTCCCTCTTCTTCTTATCCTTCCTCTTCAACTTGTTCTCCCACATCTTTTTTTTCTTTCTTCTTCCTTGTTATTCTCCTCTACATGTTTTTCCTTCACTATCTTCCTTAATTCCTCCACCACCTTTAACAGCTTTTCCACTTTCTTCAGCATAATCATGTCTGATATATCCTTCTTATGAGCCAACGGCACGAATGACACCTTTAACTCCTTGATTTACAGTTTCAACTCACCGACATTATTTGTGTCCAAAGTCAGGTTCTCATGAATCACAAAATCCGCAGTTTCAACTCATCGACATCATTTGTGTCCGGAGTCAGGTTTTCATGAATCACAACATCCATATCATCACCCCACGTCCAATACTCTTTGTTCCTCTCCACTTTAGTCAGAACAATTTCTCTAATCCTTACAGCCTACCATTTAAAGCCACGCACCATAAATACATTTATCACACATACAATATTCACACACATTCACTTTCATTCATATAATTCAAAAGTTTTGCAATACAGTTATACCTCTTAACTTTTGGTTATATACAACTATAGTTTCTCGTGGATTAGCTGCTTCTTCATTGTCTTCCACCACAAAATTCTTAGTGTAACAGCCGGATCCGTCATCTAGTAATAATGTAGGGGCTTCTCAAGTTGGGAAATTTTTCGTATGCCACACCTGCATGTATTCCTCAATAAATTAATACTCAATCACATTAAGAAAGACAATATTACCAATGTAAGCAACACATATTACCTTAAAAGCGTACGAAAGTACTTTGCAGCCTTATCCAAACCGTTGCACCCTCTTCGTTCTCCTAACTTCTTCTTCTTCCTCATTATCCTCTCAACTCTACCTCTACCTCTCCTTGAAGCAGCAAATGAGAGGTTGTCATGAAGTTGTCCAAAGGAGATGGAACCCCATTCAAAGTTGTTAAACCTATCCATATGCTCCAGGAGATGGAGGTAGTATAGAATCACAACAACATTGTTCTTTGCCCTTATCAATACAGCCTCAACAAAGTATACCAGAACTATCTTGAAGGCATAGTCTCTATTCTTGCACTCCTTAAACGCCCTTTCAAGCTCCCTTCAAGTCACATATATTTTTTTGGTGACTTTCTTGGAGGCTTTGCCCTTTCTCTTTTCTTTCCTCCCCTTGCTACTTTCACCTACCAACCCTAATTTCCCAAGAAAATACACCCTCAATAGCCTAATCCTTTGTGGCTCAACCTTTATATCATGGGGTTCGTCGCATCTTAGCTTGGTAATAAGGCAAAAGTTCTGCTTTGTGAACTGGGTCAATTCACAACCTATTAAATAGGTTAGCCCCTCTAGATCTTTAACCCCTTGATTTTCCACTCTATGGAGCAACAACTCATGGAGCAATTGCCTACTGAAATCCAATTCGTCAAAGCCCTAAAGGTGGCCAAAGTAGGATGCCCTAAAGGAACCAAGTTGTTCCTCATTAAACTTCTCCCTAATCAACCTTAACACATAGGGTGCTTAGGATATGTTTTTAACCCTTCCTCTATACGCATCTTCTCTAGTTACTAGTTGGACACCTTGATGCGAAATATATAAGCACACAAATTAAACCCTCTTTTTGTCAATTGTAGTATAAGTATAAGTAGGGTATCGTTCTAGGCCGGGGATTAGGAGGGCTTGCTAAAACCTCTTAAAAACATAAAAAACAAAGTTAAAAATATTAAACAAGACTCAAGGACACAAAACTAGGCTAAAAACTCTAATAATTCGAAACACACTTAAAATGACTCAAAATAATAAAAACAATCAAAATAGACACTAGGAATTGAAATGGACGGAAATTGAATTAAAAGACTAAAAACAATGAAAACTAACTAAATAATATAATTTAATAATGGGGGGTTTGGTTTTGATGAAAAGTAAATTAAACTTAAATAAATTACAGAATTTACAAAAACATGAAATTAAGGTGAAATGATAGGTGACAGACTAGCTAGAGGGTTCTTCTCCACACATGACACATATGCAACCTAAATTGATTTTCAGTTGTTCTTTCAATAAATTGTAAATCTCAACGCCCAAATTAACCGTGAATTGCACTAATTAACTCTCAGTTTTTCCACAAGTTATTGGGTTGGATGATTGCATACAACAACCCAAAACATTCCCTACAAGTTCCCTACATGAATTGCATAATAGAGATACAAGCAAGAATCATTAAGTTCTATGAAAAAACATAAGCATTGACGAGGCACTTGTTACTATGATTTGCATGAAACTCATGCCAAGAATTTACTTAACGTGATTGTGACTAGCAACCTTTACTACTTGTGAATATAAGTTCATAACGATTAGGTGAAATTCACTTATTATATTCTAGCATCAAATTCATGCATGTAAATTAAGTATGCATTCTTAATCGACATACAAAAAATAAGTTATCAATCAAGCAGTTAAGCAAATTAAATCACAACTCAGAAATCACAACTGAAGGTAATCAATTCATATTACAAATATATTCATGGTTTCGAATTAACCTCTAGCTAAAATAAAATTAGTTACACATTATTAAAAACAGAAATAAAATAAAAGTTTAGAGAGAGTAAACCGAAAGAAGGTGATCTGCTGCTTTCGCGCCCGTGTGAACTGCGCCTCGCTGGCCTGCCTTCCTGGTTTTTCACGCTGCCAAGGCAGCGTGCTGACTTTCCTTTCCGCGCGTCAACTGCCAGCTGCCAAAGGGAGCTTGTATTCCCGTACTGCCTTCATGTTCTCACGGTCCTCACTCTCCCACCAGCTGCCCTCACGTTGCCTTTCCGCCTGTCTGACTTTCCCACGAGCTGATCACCACGAGCTGCCCAATTGGCAGCGCCTGTCTCCGTGTCTCCTTGCGTCAGTCCTGTTTCTCCTCGTGCTCCCTCTATGCTGCCACCTGGCCCCTGCTGACTCCCTCGCCCAATCCCGTGCTCAAGCTGCACCCAAGCAACGTCCTTCGGTACTTGCTCTCTGACCTTGCTGCCAAAGGGCAGCTTATTCCTGCACGTTACTGACTTCCTGCTGCCAAGAGGGCAGCTTATTCCTGACTTCTCCCCCCGGCTCTCTCTGCACGTCTCGTATATATCCTTTTTTTTCTTTCCGCCAGGCCCTCCTGCCTGGCTTTTCCTTTTCTTTATTTCCTCCGCGTGGACTCTGCACCTTTCTTTCTTCTTTTCCGTCGGTGCTCACCAACCCTATTCCATTTCAACAACCCATTATAAATATAAATATATATATATTATATATATATATATTTATATATATATCTATATATTATATATGTATATATTATATATATATTATACATGTATATATTATATATATATATATATATATATTTTATGCTCTCCATTATTTTTCTCGTGGTCCACCCGTGTTCCACAATTTTCTGTTTATTATTTAAAACCCATTTGTGCTATTTTTATTTTCTTTGCATAACAAATCCTATAAACACAAAAATAACGTAAATAGCTCAAAAATATGAGGAACTAACTAAGAAAAGACGAGTGAATTTGAAGTAAAAATATATATAAATATGATCCGATCACACCTTAGGTTGCCATATCCTGTACACATGACAATACACACACAACAATCAGCATCCTGTCACCAAAGTTTCATAGTTATACATCTACTGTGAACAGAGCATCATTACTTAAGCATTTCAAGTCCCACTATCAAATTAACAATAATTCAAATACAAAAATCAATTCCATCTCGAAACTACAACTTTACCAAGACAATAGATAATGACCCAACCTCTATACTACATGTCAACATAGCTTCATAACTTCACAACGCACCTAAATTTATCAAAAATTTCACATATATCCACCAATTCCAACTAATTACATCAATGAACATGCATCATTAACCTTATACCTAACTTAATTTATACTACGTAAAAGAAAAAAAACAAAATTAAATTCTACGGTTCCATTTTCCAAACTCACCAAATTTGAAATTCACTGGGGGAAATCAAGTATGACGTTAGTTATCGCAAAAACACTTTGAACCCAACTCGAATGAAGTGAAAAGCACATCCTTTTCTGTGGAACCTTACTGCATAGCTTTCAACCAAACTCCACTTTATTTGTTCATTGCTCTTTGGAGTTTCAGTGAGGCCGGAGAGCACAAGAACATACCAACTATAATTGAGTTTGAAACGGGAATGGTGTTTGAGCAAACGCATGAGAGCAAAAGAGTTTTGGGATGAGGTCAACACAAATTAAAGATGGTAAATGTTTATGTCCCATGTGGGGGGGGGGAGTTTAAATCCTAACAAATGTTAAATTCATGCCGGGTACCCTTTTTATTAAATGATGGGTCATTTATGATCCGGTTTCACTCTAAGCTCATTATGATGGATCCGTTTTCAGCAGTTCAAATTTCATGTAGCGGGTCACATCCTGTCCGCACGCAAGGTTTGCAAAATATGGTCTGCACCTGAGAAATCCCTCTAAAGTATAAACTAGTTTGGAGAAGAAAAGAGGTTCATGCTTGCTTGGTTGGACACACATATTGTACTCCTAAACCCGTCTCCATCGACCACTTAGTTTTACGGCCTAGTGGTATTCCTCTTCAATTGTAAGTGAGAGGTTTTAGGTTCGATTATTGCCAAAGGCGAATTTGAACCACATTATTGCTAGCCCATTGTGAGGCTAAGCCCACCCCTCCCCCTTAGTAATATCGTTGGCTAAAAAAAAAACAAAAAAACCTGTCTCCATCGGTGTTCGGATGGCTGCGATATCGATTTAGGGCTTGGGTTTTGAGTTTGCTATATTTGGGCCTGAACTCTTTGTTGTATTGGGCCTTTTTCACTAGCCCAAAAGGAAAGGAAACAAAAAAAAAAAAGCACCAAAACATAACAAAACCCTCCACCTTTGACCAATGTCCTAACGCGTTTCGTCTCCGACTCCTGCATATCTCTCTCCCTCCTCTCTCCCAGTTTGCTCATAGAAAATGGACGCCATTGACTCAGTGGTGGATCCGCTCAGAGAGTTCTCCAAGGACAGCATTCGCCTTGTCAAGCGCTGCCACAAGCCCGATCGCAAAGGTAATTCAATATTCGGGTCCGATCTGTGTTTTCCCAGATCTGGTTTTGCAGAAATTAGGACTTTTTTATTCTCTGATATCCATGTGTAATTGATGATATTTGATGGTTGATTGTGGTGTAGAATTCTCCAAGGTCGCGCTCCGGACAGCGATTGGGTTCGTGGTGATGGGATTCGTTGGCTTCTTCGTGAAGCTGATCTTCATCCCCATCAACAACATCATCGTCGGATCTGTTTAGGTAATTGTTGGATCTCTGTCTTGGTCTGCTCTAATTCATTGATTCAAATTGTTGATAGAAATTGTGGAGATTTGATTTGCATGCTCGATCGATGCATTATGTAATTAGGTTGTTTTTATGTTGGATTCGGATTTCGGATCGATTGTAGTATTTGCCATGCCTTGGAAATTGAATGTCAGATAGTTGTTTGCTCAATTTTTATGAACAAATCTAAAGTTTCGATCAGGAACGTATTGGTTGAGTTTGCATATACATACTTGGCTTGTCTTATCTGACGGTACAACTGAAATGGTTATTTAATGTCGATAATTTTACCAACTTTTTGTTTAGATGTGTGCATCGTTCTTGATTTTGAGATTTTTACCCTGTTGCGATTAATTCGAGGGTTTGTAACGGGTAGCCATTTTGCATTGCTGCTTGATACTGGGTAGAAATGGATGTGGCACTAGCAATGCAATGGCGTTTTAGGATTCATATAGCCAGCCCCGCTTAGTGGGATAAGGCTTTCTTGATATATTATTCCGACTTATCCAATCTAAAAAACAAGTTAAAAGTTATAAAGTCATATTTGACTCCAAATGTGGTGGTGAAATTATTAATTTCTCAGATGCATACGGGGTCAAATTTGACCTTAAGCTTTTACTCTTATGCATTATAGAGGGATTAAGTCAGGTTTAAAATTAAATATAGCGCCAAAATCATATATGACCTCAACTTTTCCGGGGTGCTAGAGAAGGATTGAATCAAGATTAGAGTCAAATATAACTTTTGACTCCAAATTTCCAGTCCATTGCAAATAGCCTTAGGAAGCTGATATCGAGCCAAGGAAGATTAACACAAATACTGATTATGTGTAAGAATTGGTCCAATGTTCATATATCTTGAATGTATTATTGTTAGTTTCATGTTTATTGGATTTATTCATGTGTAATTACATAGATTTCATTTCGGTGTTGTTATACTATGGATTACAGGCCTTAGGCGAGTGAGTTGGTTAGGAGTGTTAGAAACACATTTCATATCTTTGCCTGTAGGATATGATGTCGATTGGGGACTGATTTTGTTTTCCCGTATGATTGCAGATCATGCTGAAGATCAAGTTAGACAGATGATAGATGCAGCGGACCTTAATAAAGCATTAGCTTTTAGTTCTCATGTGTTCCTTGTTTCTGTAAAACCATGATACATGTATTTTCTTGTTTTTGATATTTGGGACCTTGTGAACTTGTCTCTTTGTCGTTTAATCAAAAATTGTGTTGTTCTGGATTCGCTTACTTGATCATTGTACATTTTAACCAATAAAATGTCGGAGGGATGATCGTGTGTAAAACGATAAAGAAGTATTGAATGTGATGGTCTCGAGCAATGGATTCAGTAGCATGTTTATGGTAGTGGGATCCACATTGAATTACAACACTTCTTCTTGGATGACCACAAGTCTTTGATTGACTTGTTAAAATATTGATCTGTTTTGGATGCTCCCCTTGATAAGTATCTTCTCCTGATTTCAAATTCTTTAGGCTGATGCGTATCGACGCCATACTTGAACTTCTGTGGGCTCGTCATTGATCTTTCTGCTTTAGTCTCTTGCATAACAAAAGTGGTGCGCAACATTTTCCCTTTAATAATCCTTCAAAACATCGTTTCTTAGCGACTTATCCATGCTTGGCAGCTTCAGTGTAAAGAACCAACATTATATCAACTGTTATGAGGTATTTACTAAGGAAATTTGAGACCTACCAACAGTTGAAGATGACTACTCGAGAGCAATGCAAGGTAAGCAATTAGGGAAAGGTTCCAGGCAATTAGTTCCAAATCAGAAGTTTAATTTTAGGTTTCGACTGATTGCTCTTTTTCTCCTTGTTTTGCAGGTCTGCCTTGCCATGGAGGACAGAGATCGACATATATAGGGATTTCCCAATAGCAAGTAGTGGTGCTTTTCCTTTACGCTTGTCAACACCAGTAGTGTAATTAGAACTGTAAAATTCACGCGTTTCAACTTTGTCAGAGATCTTTGACAAAGTTGCCCGTGATATTCGAAAAGTTGAGATTGCGTCTGAAAAGTGGCAACGAACTTTATTCAAGAAAATCTGGCTTTTGAAATTTAGAGAGTGGTGCCTTTTTTATTTTTGAACAAGTGGACATGTTGTCTCTTCTTTTATAAAGGCATCGACTGTGTTAAAAAACATGCTCAGAAAGTTGCTGCCTGTAGAAATTTCCCCTTTTTGTACTTCTGAGATTTCAATTTATATGACCTCATTTTCCTTTATCATTTCTGAAAATGGCTTGCCCATTTGACCGTCGTTTCGATTTGAATGCTGTGAAAGATGCAGACATGTCTCCTCAAGACAATATATGGCACCCATCATTCTTATCCTCTAATGGTCTTCTTACGGTTGGGGACTCTATAATGAAAGATGACATAACCACTACAGTGGTGGTTAGGAATCTTCTCACTCCGAAGGATAACAGGATAATTTCAAAACGGTCCGATGAATTGGTTGTTCAAGACTCTCTGCCTTTCAGTGTTCAGTGTGCGAGCTCTGTATCCAATATGGGAGTTGCAAATCTTAGACAAGAGATCAGAGGGCTCAAACACGAGAATAGAGAGTTGCACATGCTTGCAAATAATTACTCAACGAGCATGAAAAGAAAGCTTGACCAATTGTAGGAATCCGAAAGTCAGATTCAAAGTGATCATCAGATGTTTGTGGCTTTATTCCAAATGCACCAATTGCCTTTGCCATCTGGAGTTTTATCAAGTATTGAGGCTCCAAATAATCAACCTCCAGTGCCTCTTCTTTATGAAGTTCCGCCAAGTACTAAGGCTCCACATGATCTGTCTCTATTGCCTCATCCTTCTGGGGTTTTGCCAAGTACTTGAGGATTCACATGATCTGTCTCCAATGCCTTCTCCTTCTGGGGTTTTGCCAAGTAATATATGTATAAAAATTTCCTCCCTTATACCTGAAAAACTTTATTCCAACTTGTTAGATATAGAAACCCATGGAAATTTTTGGTTCCATAATCAATAAATAAATGTGGAAACGATGAAATATTCTAGTTCCAAGAATATAAATCAATGAACCTTTTAACGGTTAAAAATAGTGTTGTGCTAAATACAATACAACATATACTTCACTAAGATGTGGTACTTTTGGACCAAATATCAATTTATCTTTTCCCTCACAAAGATAAATGATCTTTCTTAGTGTCTAAATATTGGTTAATCATTTGAGTATTCAACTCATAATCTTCAATCCATATGGTTCTTTAATATCATAAACATCATGGATAAGATTCGTGTTGGCATATTGTTTGATCTCCAGCTCGAGACAATATTTCTTTCAACACTTTATAATCTTTCTAGACTATTTAGGAGTTCCAATGTAATATCATCAACTCTTGCACTAGATTTAATGGGTTGCAACAATATCATAATTGACACACCCCGATCTCGATGTCTGGGGGACATCCTTGGACATCGGGATGGTCACGTGCTGGCTAACACTCAAGGGTGACGCAAGCTATGTAACGAATGCATATGTTGAGAACATGTGAAACGTGCATGTAAATTTCGCGCGAACTACGCAATGTAATATTTCAACAAAAACCTTATAAAATAATATAATAATATTCAATTGCCAACAATGATAATTATAACGATAATGCATGACATGTTCAGGGCATACATCTAATTTAGAATACAAGTAGAAGGTGTTATTACAATGATGTCAAAGCAATAAAGGATGGCACGATGTCACTGGTAGGGGAATGCCTCGTTACTAAGATCATAAGCCTCATTCCTATGTCCTGAAGGGGCGCAAAACAAACATGAGTGGACCAAGTTGATATATAAGTAGTACAAACATAGTTATTTAACAACGTACTAACCCTAAAAACTAATAGCATAATATGTAATAGGTTTCCGAAAACCCTAGTATGCCATAAAACCTTTCATAAAACATATATCGTATATAATGTGCTAACTAGTGGTATCAAATCGCCTGAAGGCTTTCCATCACATGCCCATAGGCAGGACATACGCCCGTAGGTAGAACATACGCCCATAGGCAGCACAATGACTACTAGATACGCATAAAAACATTGAATATAATCTTTCCAACATAAGTACATATATCTCAAAACATCATAAATAGTATATAGTCATCCATCATATATATTGTTGATGCATAAAACCAGGAGGTCTTGGAACAACGTAAATCCGACCGTGAATCTGTAAGAAAGTAAAGAACACAAGATGTATCGTGGTTCACCCCAATGTTTAGGCTATGTCCACACTGATGTTGATTGTATTTCTCTGTATGAATGTATGGATTACAAGTGTGAGGGGGAGTCCCCCAGAAAAAAGAGAGTTTGAAAGAGTTTCTCTGTTTGTGAGCCTTGTGGCTTTGTAATGTGAGAGTGAGGCTTGAGGATTGTAAGGGTGAGGATGCCCTTTTATAGACTAATGGCTCATTCCCTTTTACATGAATCATGGGCTCAATGTCTAAAAGCCCAAGTAACGAGGCCCAATATAATATGGTACTAACAGTAGTCCCCCAAGTCTTCAGTTAAGAGAGTCTTTTGGCTGGAGACTTGAAATTCAGTCCATGTGTGGGCCGAAGTAACTAGATGTCGTCTAGAACTGATACTCGATATGAGGCGGTGTTCAATCTGAAATGATGCTCAACTAGAAGTAGCACATGTTGCGAGGCTACTCAGTTTGTGGCTTATGTTGCCTTGGTTGGCTTGGCTTGTGGCGTTAAAGGTGAGGGAGTCCCTTTTATAGAATAAGGGCTCACTCCTCAATACATAAATGATGGGATAGAGTTGATGCTAGCGGCGAGGTGGTTGCTCAGCAGGCGGCGATGCTCTCTAATGATGGTGAGGGAGTCCATTTTATAGAATAAAGGCTCGCTCCTCAATAGATAAATGATGGGCTAAGAGTGATGCTCGCAGCGAGGCGGTTGCTCAGCAGGCGGCGATCCTCTCTAATGACGGTGAAGGAGTCCCTTTTATTTAATAAGGGCTCACTCCTTAATACATGAATGATGGGTGCTCTCTAATGAAAGTGAGGGAGTCCCTTTTATAGAATAAGGGCTCGCTCCTTAATACGTAAGTGATGGGTTAAGTCCCACAAGTCTTTTTCATGAGACCCAGTTATGGAAGCCCAATATATGGTACATAGTGTAGTCCCCTAAGTCTTCAGTCAATAGAGGTTGTTGGCTGTAGACTTCAAATTCAATCCATGTATGGGCCGAAGTGGCGGTTGTTAGGAGGCGGTCTTTGTATACCATGCACTGAAGTTTTGTAGGTGAAGCTTTGAAAGTGAAGCTTTGAAGCTGGAACTCTGTAAATGAAGCTTTCGAAGCTGGAGCTCTGTAAATGAAGCTTTCGAAGCTGATTGACATGAGTGATGCTCATGAATGTTTATGTATGATTGACATGAGTGATGCTCATGAATGTTTATGTATGATTGACATGAGTGATGCTCATGTATAATTTTGGAGTACTGGACGTGTTGATGCATAAAATCAGTGAGGACTTTGGTACAACAAAAAGTGTTAAGTTTGTGACCTTCGCTAGATTGCTCCGGTCACTAGTGTGGATAAGTATGTAAATAGATAGGGACAGGGAAGCAAACACAAGATGTACGTGGTTCACCCAGATTGGCTACGTCCACGGAGTAGAGGAGTTCTCATTAATTGTGAAGGGTTTACACAAGTACATAGGTTCAAGCTCTCCTTCAGTGAGTACTAGTGAATGATTTAGTACAAATGACATTAGGAAATATTGTGAGAGAATGATCTCAATTTATAGAAGAGAGTTTCTAGTTTCATTATGACATTGACATGTGTCGTGTTGTGATTGTCTTCTGATGTTGACACGTGTCGTGCTATGATTAGCTTCTGATGTCAACACGTGTCGCGCTGTGATTGGCCTCCTGGTTGGAGGGAAACTCTTCTAGGTCCTTGACTATATAACGTTGACCGGTGCTCAGTAGTTTCGGGATTGGTGAAGTATGGTACAAACAATACTCCCCTAAGTTCCCGAGTGAGGGAAGCTCATCGGTTGGGGACTTGTAAGATCCAAGCCATTGAGTAATCACGAAACTTCTAAGTACCGAAGTGTGGTATCATTTTCACTTGTCTTATTTGTCTCATATGTAGATGTGGCATCTTCTCTGGAAGTACTTTTCCTCTATCCAGGGGTGTTATCTTTAACTGATGAAGATGCACAAGGTAATGTATCAATTTCACTTGAAGCTTACTTGTAGTTTCGGGCTTGGTCAAGTGCGATACAAACCCTATAGTAGGAGTCCCCCAAGTCGCCGAGCTAGGAGATTTGCCGAAGGAGGTAACAGACAAGGTAAGCAATCAGACTTCCAAGCAAGCAACCTCGATCGGAGGTTCGACTTCGGCTTCCGGTTGATTGTTCTCCTTCTCATTGTGTCATAAACAATAACAAGGATAAGGAGAAGCAAATGGAGAAGAGATGATATGAGATACTTTTGCTTTTGAAGAAGTAACTTTCCACAGGCTTATTCTTGAACTGGGCTGGAGGGTTTTCTGGTTTCCTCTAGAGTATAAGGCCGACTCAAGAATTTGAGGGTCCAAACAAGTCCATCAAATCTAGAGTACGTTCGACCCTAATGATATGGGATACTTTTGCTGTTGACAAAGTAGTGGATGTATTGGCATGTGTTCTGTTACGCTTGTCTCCACATGCTTCCTTGTATCCTTCTCACTTGCCCTATCTGTTCCTCAGGCAGATGTGGTATCTTCTCTGGAAGCATAAGATGTTGAAGATGAGTACTCGAGAGCAATGCTAGGTAAGTAATTAGGCAAGGGGTTCCAGGCAGTCAGTTCCTGACTAGAAGCTTGATTCCAAGTGTTGACTGATTGCTCTCATTCTCCTTGTCTTGCAGGTAAGAACAAGGCCAAAGGAAAAGACAGGGAAAAAGCATGATATGGGATACTCTTGCTTTTAACCCTGATGATATGAGATACTCTTGCTTTGGTGTGGCTTGTTTACAGAGGTATTACCGGGAGGAAAAGAAGCTGAGTATTTCGATAGACTCTGCTGAGAGTGTCCTCTCGGATG